TGGCTCCCTGGGTTTATGGTGTGAACTTTTGTGGTAGAATACCTGTGAGATTTAGTGGTGTAGTCTCCTTGATCTCCCAAACTCACTGGTCTTGGGCTGTCCTTTAAGTTGTGTTTGTCTTTGGGATTTGATTATTTTGGGCTCTTTCTTTTGTGGGTCCTTCCCACCAACTGGTTAAGTGATGATCAGTCACTCCGTCCACCACCTCTTGTAATTTGTTGTGCTGGTGAGAGCAGGTTGTGTTGAAGCTAGTTCTTCTGTGTGTACAAGGTTTTGAGGATTCTCTTTTGCCCTTGTTCAGTTGTTTGTACTGGGTAATTTCTCCATTATTTAGTTGTATTTCCAGATAGGTACTGGATTGAAGTTTGTGTGGTTTCCACTCTCTCCTTCACCTTCTTCTATTGTTATCTGTTGGTGGTTCCCCTCTTCCAGTGGGTATCCTGGTGTTCACTGCTTCCAGCTACTCATCTGGTTTTTCAGTGTCTGCTACCATTTTTTGGTCTCTTACTTTCATATATGCTGGGGCAGTGTTGGGTGTTTGCTCTGTTCCTCCATAGAATGACCAGGTTTTTCTCCCGTGTGTAGGGGGAAGTGGGATCTGCTCCCTCCTACTCTATCGCCATCTTCCAGAACCCCTTCACTAAAGGCTCTGCTCCCAGGACTTTGCTGCCCAGATGCTGGGTTCCCCCAGAGCTCCCTGCAGGAGACTGAAGAGCATGGAAGGAAGGGAGAGCTAGAATACTCAGGACTCGGGAGAGGCGATCCACCTACTGCCTTCCCCTAAAAGAAATTTTTGACCAACCCAATTGTTCCTATTTCTCACCCACTTTTCACTAATTTGCCTGGACAAAACATTCTTGATATTACTATTCATTTTTGCAGTCAATATGTTTTTTCAAAGACTTAGTGAATGGCAGGTTTAGAATTAAAATTTTAAATGTTTTGCTTTAATCTCTTCCTACTTGAAAACATTTTTAAACACTTGAAAACATTTAAGAAGTCTACATTAATTGAATAATTTGAGATCATAACTAAAACTTCAGATAAATCAGAGATTAAATGGCATTTTTTTAAGCTGGAAGGGTCTTTAATATTAATTATAAAAACAAGATTAATTTCATGGCATTTTCCTTCAACTTCAAGGGGAAACTTTTCTGAGTGGGTGAACCTACAACAGTCCAATTCCAAAAACAATAAAAATGCAGTTTACTCTTTTTCCTACTTAATTAAAGAAAGAGCAATGAGATAAAATGATTTAGTGAACAGAGAAAGAACAAAAGGAATGGGGAGACTTAGAAAAGTTTCTAAAACAAAACAAAAAATCCAAAAAGCATAGTATCTCTCCTCTCCATCTTTATTTTAAATTAAGTATTAAAGCAGTATATGCTCAATATCAAATGAATAACTAGACCTACACTATTCACTATGGTAGCCATAACCACATGGCTACTGAGCATCTGAAGTGTTGCTTGTGCAATTTGAAGACAGTACTGAAAAAAATCGCATATAATATTCTCATATTGATTTCATACTTAAATGATAATTTTTCATGTTTTGGATTAATTAAAATACATTATTAAATTCTTTTTACCTTTTAAATATTGCTACCAGAATATTTAAAATTAAATATTGTGGTGTTTCCAACCAAGATGGACACATAGGTAGATATGCCTCACTTCCCTGCACAACCAAAAGAAGGATAAAAACCAATTTAAAAACAAAAAACAGCCAGAATTGCCAGAAAATTGAACTGTACAAAAGTCTGACAACCAAGGAGTTAAAGAAGAAACATTCATCCAGACTGGTAGGAGGGGTGGAGATCGGCAGCTGGGGAGGGGAGGACATGAGGCAAGGCAGTGGCTAGAGGACCAGGGTGGGTGAGGTAGCAGCTGGTGGAGTGAATGTTCCCACATTTACATGTGGATAAACTGGCAGGAACAACAGGGGAGCAAGACAGACTGTGTAACTCAGGGTTCCAGCACTGGGAAAAAAAGCTTCAAAACCTCTGGCTGTAAAGACCTGTGGGGTTGCACAGCAGGGGAAACTGCCAGTCTCACAAGAGATTCCCATTGCAGGGGCCCACAGGGTCCTAGAACATACACAAGCCCACCTGCCCAGAAATCAGCACAAGAAGGGTACAAATCACTGTGGGTAGCAGAGGAAGTGACAGAAAGTGGAATGAGAGCCAAGCAAGTGGCATTGTTCCCTCTCTGACTCCTTCCCCACATACAGTACCACAATGCAGCAAAGTAAGTTGCCCCACCCTGGAGAATACTGAAAGCTCTGCCCCTTACAATGCAACAGGTAGGCTGAAGCAAAGAAATATGACCCAAATGAAAGAACAGATCAAAACTCCAGAAAAAGAACTAAGCAAAAAGGAGATAGCCAACCCATCAGATGTAGAGTTCAAAACACTGTTAATCAGGATGCTCACAGAAATGATTGAGTATGGCTACAAAATAAAGGAAGAAGTGAAGGCTATGCAAAGTGTTACAAAGAAAAACATACAGGGAACCAACATTGAAGGGAAGGAAACAGGGACTCAAATCAAAGATTTGGAACAGAAGGCAGAAATAAACATTCAACCAGAACAGAATGAAGAAAAAAGAATTCAAAAAATAAGAAGAGGCTCAGTAACCTCTGTGACAACTTTAAATGTTACAACATCCAAATCATAGGGGTACCAGAAGGAAAAGAGGGAGAGCAGATATTGAAAACTTATTTGAAAAAATAATAAAGAAAAAGTTCCTCAACCTGGCTAAGGAAATAGACATGCAAATCCAGGAAGCTCAGAGAGTTCCAAAGAAGTTAGGCCCAAAGAGGGCCACACTAACATACATCTAATTAAGTTATCCAAGGTTAAAGGTAAGAAGAGAATCTTAAAAGCGGCAAGAGAAAAGCAGAGAGTTGCCTACAAAGGTGTTCTCATAACACTATCAGCTGATTTCTCAAAAAAAAAAAAAAACAACCCCTTACAGGCAAGAAGGAGCTGGATAGAGGTATTCAAAGTCATGAAAAGCAAGGACCTACATTCAAGATTACTCTATCCAGCAAAGCTACCATTTAGAATGGAAGGGCAGATAAAGTGTCCCAGATAAGTTCATCATCACCAAGCCTTTATTATATGAAAGGTTAAAGAGACTTATCTAAGAAAAAGAAGGAAGATCAAAATTCTGAACAGTAAAATGGCAAAAAGACTCACAACTATCAAAACTGAACTTAAAAAACAAAGACGGAAACAAACTAAGCCAACAACTAGAACAAGTCAGAAAGAATTACAGAAATAGAGACTACATGGAGGGTTATCAGTGGGTAGGGGGTCAGGGGAGAATGGGGGAAAAGTTACAGGAAATAAGAAGTATAACTGGCAGGTACAATATAGACAGGGGAATGTTAACAATAGTATAGTGTTGGGAACTGCCCTGCCTGGTTTCAGAAGCTGTAAACCAACCCCCCATGGCTAAGGCTCAGTGAACAACCTTTGGACCCTAAGCCACTAAGGAGACAAAGCTTATCTCCCTGGCAGGAGTGCTGCTTCTGCTCCTTTTACTTCATCCATAACTGGCCCCCAATGCTTGATCAATTAGCCAATGATGGGTATGATTCCCCAAAGGGGGACAACCTAAGACAGGCACGATCATGGGGAGGCCCCAGGGAGGACTCAGGGCGGGGGGGCTATAGCAAAAGGGGATAATGGACCCTTGCCCCTTGGCTTTGACACAGCCTGAGTCCTCATTCTGTTTGCAAGAAGTCTCCTAATCTCTTGGCTGCCTTACTTCCCCTGACTTAAGCCTGAAATAATGACAGAGGGTGGTGCAGCCCTGTGCTGGAAAGGGTGGGTTCCCCGAGTGATCAGGAAATAAGAAAGAATACATAAACTCCTGTGAAACCTGCTTTGTTTAGAATGCTCTCAATTAAATGATAAGGGTCCAAGCAGGAAATGAGTTTGTTTCCCAAAGTTTTGTAGCCCTTTAGCTAACAGACCCTGACTCAGAATAGGCCTTTGTAGTTCTTTGTATGCTATCTATTGTTTGATCCTTACTGCCTGACAATGATTAATGAACTTTACCTGTATTCCTGTGCTAACTGAATCCAGTAACAGCCTGTCCAGGCAAAGGTTGGCACACTCTCCTCTTAAAAGAGTGGCCATACCATCCCTTTTACTCCACAGGACTCAGTAGTCATTGTGAATTTGTCTTGTATCTCACCTACAATGTGGCAGACCCCACAAGCCAGGGTCTTTGTCAGTGTAGGAAATGGAGAAGCCAAAGAACTTATATGTACGACCCATGGACATGAACTAAGCGGGGAGCGAATGCTGGGCGGGGGGGCGTTGCAGGGCAGAGGGGAATAAAGGAAAGAAAAATGGAACAACTCTGATAGCGTAATCAATAAAATATACTTAAAAATAAAATTAAATATGTGCCATCATATTTTCTACAAGATAAAGCTAGATAAGACAGTAATTGCTATACAGCCAGGATGAGGAGATATCACTATGTACTGAAGAAGGCTTCATGAAAATATTACAACTTTAAGAAAGAAAAGGATTCAAGAAAGGGGAGAAAACTAGAGGAACCATATTATATGAATAGAAAGAAGAGAGATCTCTCAAGCTCACTAGATAAGGGAATATTCTGAAAGAAATTAATTCTCCTCATGTGATATTAGAAAGCATTTAGTCCAGAACAAGTCATGGTTCTGAAAACACACATCTACAGAAATAGCAGAAATCAAGCAGACTATCTACTACAACGAACTAGTTACAAAGCTGTAAAATTTGTGAGACATAAAAAGGAACTTGGTTGGTTTTGTTCACTGCTCTATCATCAATACTGAAAAATGCCAGGCATGTAAGATACCTAAAATAAATATTTGTTAAGTGAATGAATGAGCAAATTAACTACTGCAGGAAAGGGTGGTGCTTTCTAATAAATTTTAAGGTAGGGACACTGGGAGAGGCAGTAAAAAGGAAGAGTGTTAAGAAAGGAGAGATGATCCATCCATACTAGCACCCGCCAGAGCCTAATTATCCTCACTTTTCGTACCATTCAGGAAAATGAGGTACAAAACCAATCCCTCTCCCAAGTCTGCATAATTTTGGATCTATTACCTGAGGACCTGAAGTGAATAACTAAATGAGCCTTCCTCAGAAACCCAACTGCAATTCAGCTGTAAGGAAAAGCAGAAAGACTTCATCTACACAGGTAGGAATATCGCCGTCTTCTGGGGTCAAACAAAAGCAGCAGCAGCACCCTCACTACAAACTACTGGGTGGTCTTCCTCACAGGAAGAGGAAGGTTTTTTTCCTTCCCCTTGTCTTCTCTCCTCTTTCTTCCTAGAATACTCAGAAATATCCCCTGACATACAGAAAAAATTAGAAACCTGGCATAGTCTGATATGAAAATATTTAGGTGAAAAATGTGTGTGTATATCCAAAGGGGCAAGAGTGGGAGGGGAGTAATTTCTGACGTTTTTACAATATTATGTACTACAATTGCATGGCAATAAAACAATATACACAGAATTCTGAAGGAGTAAATTGTGAGCCACAAGTTTGCTACCCACCTAAATAGTAATTTACACATGAAGGCAAAAGGAAGAGAGTTAGTTCATGTTTTATGAAAATTTGAATTTTGACTATTTAAAACAGTATGATATAGAATATCAATTAAGTCCTAGTTTATACATAAAAAATTTTAAATATTATTAACAAAATGTAAAACTGTATTTCTTTCAGACACACAAGAAAAATGTTAAAGAAAATATATTTAAAGTTAGGAAGAAACCAAGGAAAACATAAAGACAGAAAAGAAATAGCAAAAAAGCATTTAAAATAGTTCAGATTATCAATTATACAGTAAATACATTTTAGCCATTAAAAAAAAAATCCCTTGGATATGGCTGACACCCTGGCCGGTGTGGCTCAGTGGACTGGACTGAGCTTGGGCCTGGGAACCAAAGGGTCACTGATTCGATTCCTAGTCAGGGCACAGGCCTGGGTTGTGGGCCAGGACCCCAGTTAGGAGACATGCAAGAGGCAACCACACATTGATGTTTCTCTCCCTCTCTTTCTCCCTTCCTTCTCCTCTCTCTAAAAATAAATAAAATCTTTTTTAAAAGCATAAAAAAATCCCTTGGATATGATCTTTTAAGTGTTTACAAGTGACACATTTAAAATAAATCCAGAAAGCTGGAGAGAAAAAGGTACAGATAAAAACAAAACAGGGGTTACAGCAAAATACAACCAAAGATATAAAAACATTTTCTGAGAAAAGAGGATTGTTTTTTAAAAATCCACAACTCATACAACTATATATGCTAAATGATAGTGCTACTGTATATATATATATATATATATATATATATATATATATATATATATTTAACTATTATATATATATACATATATATATATATAATAGTTAAATATGCAAAAAGAAGTGGATATAAGTTCAGAAGTATACAGGAAGACTTTTTTAGATATCCAAGTACAGTTGGCAAAAATATAAATAAGATGAAATAAAAGTCATTTGATGTCAAATAATGAAGGATTTATATAAGTGACATGAAATCAGATTTAAAGCAGAAGTAAAATGATAAAAGTTGGGTTTCTTAAGAATGCTCTTTTTTATAGGAATGTGAAGGAAAGAGGGTGAAAGGACTGAAAACAGGGAGATAATCTTCCTGAATGAAATAATGAATGCTGATCAGAATTCTCCTACCTAGAAATACATTTCTAAGAAATGTTATCTTAAGCAAGGTTGGTTCCTATCTGGGTGTTTACTCTTTATAGTGAAAAGGGCTTTCACATTAGTATCACTTTTGACACTGTAATAAATAGGAAGGGCCAAAAGAGAAACTCTTGGAAGTAAGAAAGGAACATGACTCAAGGAGGGAAATTCCTGGTGTATAAAATGCCCTATATATGCCAAATGGCAATTTGCTACCAGGCTCAGCACTTCTACTCCCTCCCAGAAGAGTATCAAAGCTGAAGCAGAAGCAACAAGCATGAACGTGAACGGCATGGCTATAGTCTTGGCTCTGATATTCTGTGCTACAGCTGTTCAAGGTACATGGTACTTTTTACTTCTCAACCTATAAATTGTTTTTAATCATTCTGCAAGTGTCTTATTAGAAGTTACTGCAGCTTGACAGAGAATGTAAGAAATGTCTGAGGCACTAGAGATAATCATGGAGTTTTGTTTTTTTCTTCTTTTTAATTTGGCTACAAAGTCTGGCAAGAGCCTTTAGTAATAGTTTTAAATGTCTGTTAAAAAGATTTTTGCGAGATAATGTTACTAGCTTCCTGGGAAAAGTCTTGAGCATAAAAGCAAGAGGCAAATAAGCTTGATCTCCAACAACTTCTTTCATGCTGTCCACTATTAATGGTTTGCTTGCAAATTTGAAGAGAAAATCATTAACATCTTAAGCTATCCCAGCAACAGCAGTGTCAAGTGCTATTTGGCAAATTACCATCTTTGTCCTTAATAAAAACTTGGCTCACGTTCGTCACCAGGATTATAAACCATAGTCATCTGTCGCAATCAGATCCATTAGTAACCGCTGCTGTAATCTGTTCTAGGTTTCCCAATGTTCAAAGGAGGACGTTGTCTTTGCATAGGCCCTGGAGTAAAGGCAGTGAAAGTGGCAAATATTGAGAAAGTCTCTGTAATGTTCCCAAGTAACTACTGTAATAAAACAGAAGTGATGTAAGTAATGGACTTGCTAATGATGACTATGGTGGAGGCATTTGGGTTTTTTTTTTTTTTTGCTTACGTTTTTCCATCCCAAATTTAAGACTATTTGAATCTTCCCTTAACAGTATCACCCTGAAAGCACAAAAAAAACAGAGATGCCTAAATCCCCAATCGAAGCAAGCGATTATTATCATAAAGGTAGGTTACTGGATTACTTCCATTTTATAATGTTTAATCCAAGACAGATCTTTGAAAACAACAAACAACTGCGGAAAGGTTCTATGATCTTGTGTGAATTGTTTTTATAAAAGGTCTTTGGTTATAATTAGCTTTTCTTTCTTGCTTAATGTTTTTACATGTCAACTGTTAATCACTAGGAGACAAGAATAACCCAGGTTTATAAAACTCTCATTTTCTCATTACAGAAAGCTGAAGAGATGAATTCTTTAAAACATCTGAAGTCCTAGACCCTGGCTGGTGTCGCTCAGTGGATTGAGCACTGGCCTGCAAACCAAAGGGTCACTGGTTCAATTCCCAGTCAGAGCACATGCCTAGGTCCCTGGATGGGGGTGCATGAGAGGCAACCACACAAAGAAAAAAAACAAAAAAAAACCACCAAAAGCCATCTGAAGTCCTGGATGAAAAGGATATAAAAATTCAGAACAAGTTTAACTGTTATGATTAATTGATAAAAATTCTGTAATATTAGGGAAATGACTTTCTGTTGTCTATTGCAATGTATGTTCATGCATTTTTAGGTTAGGAAAATTTGTGGAAGATTTGATATTTATAAGTATTCTGCTGTGACAATGAAAACATTTCTCAGTTATCTGTTTGTGCTTGATCTATATTGTACATTGAAACCTGCAGTTATAATAGAGACACTAACATTATTCTAAAGTCAATATCTTATGAGTCAAAAGCATCCATGTATATAATGAACATTACCCCCAATTTTTTAATGGGAATCTTATAGCACATATACATCCAGGAAAAAAGTTCTTATATGTCATCTTGTTTTATAAAAAGGCTGTAATTCATGAAATGAACTATGAAAAAATTATAAGCTAAGGGAAACTTGTCAGAATGCAAATACTTCATAACTGAATTAGCAGCTCTGGTCTCAATTTGATTTTAACAACTTTGTTTCTCATTGAGGTGTTTTGAAGCAATTTGGATGTGTGTGTTTACTATGCATTTTGGTTTCATCTATTCTTATAAATTATAGCAATATTTTGGACACATTTTCAATATAAAATGTTTCTGTCTACCAAAGAATATGCTGAAAAAGAAATATATGTACATATCTGGCAATCATCTTTACTTTCTGTGTGTTTTTTTTCCTTAGGAAAATACATAATCTTATCTTTTTAAGTCACGTCTCTACAATTTAGGAATATCTAAGATACTTTTATTTTAAAAAGAATCAAATAATTTTCCTCTAAAAAAGTACCACAACCCTTTTGTCGATGTAAGAAATATCCAAGCTTATAGAGAATTTTTATGAGTTTATTTAAGTGAAACTGATAACTGCTGGAAGGCAAAATCTCAATGACTGAGAAAATGCTCCAGAGAACAGCAGTTTTGCAGTTTATTTTATACATTACAATGAAAAGAGGAGATGTAAAGAGGATTATGTGACATACACTGGTGGTAGATTAGGGAAGTGAGAGAAAACAAAGAGGGGAAACCTCTGAGAATGGATAAAGAGTAAAATGAACTGTCTAAGTGCCCATCAGCAAATAAGTGGATCAAAAAACTATGGCACATTTACACAATGGAATTCTATGCAGCAGAAAGGAGCTTATTATACCCTTTGCTACAGCATGGATGGAACTGGAAAGCATTATGCTAAGTGAAATAAGACAGGCGGTGAAAGATAAATACCATATGATCTCACCTTTAACTAGAACATAATCAACAAAAGAAAAAAAGCAAACAAAATATAACCAAAGACATTGAAATGAAGAACAATCTAACACTAGCCACAGGGGAGGTGGGGTACAGTGTGGAGAAGGGTTTTCAGGAACTACTGTAAAGGACACATGGACAAAACCAAGAGGGAGGGTGGAAGCAAGGGAGGGAGGTGGGCTTGGTGGGGTTAGAGGGGAGGGGAGAAAATGCAGACAACTGTAATTGAACAACAATAAAGTAATTTTAAAATAAATAAAATAAAATACTGATTTAGAGCTTTAAAAATAAGTTATTAATCCACTAATAATTAATAACTCTAACAACAAAAGAAATAATAAAGGTGCTCTTTGTAACTTTATAAAGAAGAGTAAAATGAAAAGACAAATACTTCTTTTACATTGGCAGGTATAGGATAGTTAACAATTAATATTTACGGCACACAGAGATGATATGTGGACGACAAGATAGCGAGACGAGTTCCATGGTCTGTGGTCTGGTGGGAGATGGTGCTCTGAGGGGTCTGGAAAAGGAAATTACTGACATTCCAAAGGTATGTTGTCTGAGATGCAAAAAGACAATAGACAGGCTTAATTAGTTAAGGTAAAAATTGACCTTTGTTAAGGAAGACACAGGCCTAGGACATAACCACCCAGCATGAGTCACTTTTAATTAGGAAGTTTTAATTTAAGACCATCCTATGTGGTAACTTCAGTCTCTGAGTTTGTAAGGCCCGCTGTGCAAGCCTCCTCTGAGAGCTGATCAGGTTTAGTATGTGGCCCATTTCTCGTTCACACGTTGAAAAACAGAAACAATCACGTCTTTCAAAATGTTGATACGCCTTCAACAATTTCACCTTATATTTCGAGAAGCATACAGCTACCTGTCATCACCCAGAATTGCTTAGAAATATATCTTAATGAGTAATTGTGAAAGAAAAACTATCTTTCTTTTTAAGGGGTCTTCCTAAGTCCAAAACCCCTTCTTATTTGGGGAAAATCCCTTATTATGTGAGTCTTGGTGAGAGACCAAAAATGGGAAGCCAAAGGAAGATCCCTTGCGGCAGCCAGAACAAGGCCTCCTCTGCTAGGCCACTCCAACCCTCGACTTCGAACGCCAGCTGGCACCTCAAATACACTATCAGTAAGAAAATTATGTAAACTGGCAGTAGTAGCAGTGGAAGCCCTAACATGTGTTTGCAAAGCATGACTAGTTGTTCTTTCTTGCCGCCTAGCTCCCTTAGGTGTTTGTCCATTTTCCAAGCCTGATTCTTAAGTCTTCCTTTGGATTCTTTAACTACCAATTAAATTCCTTTTCTTCTGAAGCTAACCACAGTTGATTTCTCTGCTGTAACCAAAAACCTTAGCTGATACAGCATTCTTCATATAAACACCTATATATTTGAAACACAAAAATATTTTTACAGAATTACTGAAAAAGGATACTTTTTTGAAAAAAAATTTTTCTTATCCTCACCTAAGGACATTTTTAGTCATTGCTTTTAGAGAAAGAGGAAGGGAGAAAGGGGGAGAAAGAAACATTGATGTGAGAGAGAAGCATCAATCGTATGCTCCCAGACTCAGGATTCAACCTGCAACCTAGGAATGTGCCCTGACTTGAAATCAAACCCACCATCTTTCAGTTACAGGAACACCCTCCTACCAACTGAGCCACACTAGCCAGGGCTGAAAAAGAAAGACCAGTTTTAATGTATCTTGAGCATATCTTTCCCACTGATATCAAAGAATCAACATAATACAGATCAGAGAATTGAGAGAAAAGTAAAGAGCGTAGGAGGAACCCTGGAACCTAACAGGCCCTCTTACTGATGGGTGCTTACAAGCAATAATGAGAAGACAAAATGTTATCCAGGGGATTTGTATATAAATCTATATAACCTGTATTATATGTTTATACTGTGACGTATAATATAGATACATAGTATAAACACATGATATATAATAAATGATATAAATCTGTAATATATCGTATAAATCTATAAATCTATATTAAATATAGATGTGTGATATAACTGCATAATATAATGTACATTATATATCATAAAATGACATAAATTTCTATATAGGAATGGGACTTCTATATAAATTCCCAACATAATTTGAAGATTTGGATCTAATATTTGGCTATTTAAAGTGATTTTTTAGAGTAGTTTTGAAAATAAAAATTCATTCAGTTAGCGCTATATAATAAATTTCTTGGGGGGATATAAATTTATTTTATTTTAAAATAAAAAATTTATTTTATTTTATTTTATTTATTTTATTTTATTTTATATTGTTTTTTTACCCATTAGAGTAGCACACAGTTTATTTTTTATTATATTTTTTCCATTACCCCTTATACCCTTATACCCTTCTCCCCTACCACAATCACCACACTGTTGTCCATGTCTCTGAGTCCCTTTTCCTTTTTCCTCAATCCCTCCATCCCTTACTCTCCCCCATTAACTGTCATCCTACCCTCTATACTAATTTGAAAGAACATAAGCACCCCTATGCTCATTGCAGTGTTATTTACGATAGCCAAGAAAAGGAAGTAGCCCAAGCATCCATCAATAGATGAATAGATAAAACAACCACAGGACACTTACACAATGGAATACTACTCAGCTGTAAAAAAGAAGAAAATTTTACCCTTTGCAACAGTATGGATGGACCTAGAGAACATTATACTAAGTGAAATAAGCCAGTCAGAGAAAGACAAATACCATAATCTAATGAACAAACAGAACTAACAAGCAAAACAGAGACAGACTAATAGGTAGAGAGCAGAATAAATTTTTTAAAGTAATGTAACATAGACCATATTACATCATTATTGAAAAGATACCATATACTTAAATTTCTTCATGGCAAAATACACATATGAAAGAACATAGTACTTGAACTGTGATCCTTCTTATCTCAGAACCTTTGCACAAACTATTCCCCTCTGTCCACTTCTTCACTAAACTAATGCCTACTAGTCACTCAGTATATGCACTGCTGAAGCGAGCACTGCCTACAAGTCACTTAGATCTCAGCTTAAATGACATTTCAACAAGAGGTAATCTTTGAAAGCACCCCTTAAATGTCAGCTATATTAGTCATCCTATCTGTTTCCACAACACTCTCTACTTTGCCATCACACTATTTACTGCAATTTTCACTAAAGAATTATTCCTGTGCTTAGTATCTGCTCTTCCATAAGTGTAAGCTCAACAGTAAGTGTAAGCTCAAAGCCACTGTAGTCCTAGCCCAGAGTACAGTGCCTGTCACATATTTGAGAATGGAATGACTGAATGATAATATAAACTAATGAGAAAGGAACTTACAGCAATAACATGAGAAAGCACAGTGGTGGGAAATATAAAGTGAGTTAAAAATAATTTGATTGGTTTTGTTGAAGTAAAGGATAAAAGATATCAAATGTCTAGCTGAACAGCCTTGAATTTTATTCTACAATATGAATTCGTGAATTAAATGTTCACGAATAAGAGAATGACCCTACCCAAGTTACTCTAAATCATTCTGGAAAGAGCACAGAGGACTGATTGGAAATGGGAAAGACTGAGAAGGGATATGTTGTCATGGCTCAGGTCTCTATTTCCCAAACTTCAAGTCATTTTCATATCATCTTCACAAACTTTACCATATTTATAATCAATCTTCATTATATTTTGCAAATTCTGGGTACCACTTTTACTTTTACTATTGTACATGTAAAATAAGTATCACTTGCTATAGAAATAAAATGCAAAAATAAAAGAAAAATAAAAATGCTAAATTTCAGCTAGATATTGTTGTATGCCAAAGGTTTGAAGTATCGGGCCAGATCTGTATTCTTTAAAAGGGAAATTAACAGAGAGAGATGTTTGAAAGCCAAACTGAATCTGAACTGAGATTCTCTGTGATTTAATCAGAGGCACTGGAAGGTAAACAGAAAATAACTGACATTCAATGTTGTTATCAGGGAGCCCCCAGCATTGTCGCACACTTTGGGAAATGCTGGTCTGAAAAGTAACGAGTACAGTATGTTAAAAGAATTACCATATAATCCAGCAATTCCACTTCTAAATATATGTACTCCAAAGAATTGCAAACAGTTGTCCAAACAAAAATGTGTACACAAATGTTCATGCAGCACTATTCACAACAGCCAAAAGGTAGAAACACCCAAATGTCCACCAACAGATGAATGGGTAGAGAACATGCGGCATATACACACAATGGAATATTATTCAGCCTTAAAAAGGAATGAAATACCAAAACGTGCTACGACATGGATAAATCCTGAAAACATCATGCTAGGTAAAAAGAAGCTGGACACAAAACTCAACATATTGTTACGATTCTATTTCCATGAAATCTAAAGTGGAAAAACCCACAGAAAGAG